TTGCAGTAGAAGTGGCATATCGAAGGTGGAACTCGCATAATAGTGGTAGGAARTGCACTATTCGTAAATTTTACCCGACCTCGCTTTTAAAGTAGCACATTACATTCGGACCAGCCGGTGCTCAGTTCTAAGTAGTAAATGTAAACACTCGTCCCGACAACATTACCGTTTTACTGCGTAGCAGATGGCAGCTGGCAGCAGCAGCTGACAGCCTTGATAACGACAACAAACATATACGCTGATTATTTGATAATGACGAGAAGAAAATAAAACAGTCGCAGTAGTAATATTAATATTTAATAACAATAATAATAATATTTAAGTTCATTGTCGTTTAACAATTTCGCAATGGAATTGAAAATATATTATTTTCGTTCAAAAACATGAAATATTTCTACACACGAATCRCTGTGTCTCTTTGTGACTTTTTTTTCTGCCATCATCTCGGTGTTGCAATAGTCTGTGATCGCTTATTATTGTTTTTTTTTCTAAAGTTTTTGACGTTTTACCTCGGACTGTGTGACCATGTACATTATTGTGATCACATCTGGGTAATTTGACTTGCTTCGAAATGAAAATATCGACGCATAACCTTTGGACCATTGAATCATTAAACCTTGTTTGACCCTATAATAAGGATTTCAAAAATGTCGGCGGACTCTCCATGCAAAGCGTCCAAAAATGTGATCGGCAAGATAGTGCTGCCCGGTCCTGTTGTTGATCGATCTATCATTGACAGTGTTGCTGGATTCATAAATGATGTTGTCCCTCATGTAAGTATTTATTTTTCTTGTACCAATGTAATACACGTATATTATATATATTATATATGTATTAAATTATGTATATTTTGGTTCATGATTGATCATGTATTTATCTTTCAGGGATATTCTAACATTTTAAATGTAGACAGTAGAGAAAAAATTCTGTGGACACAATTTGAAACACTAGAAGCTAATGAAYTTCCTTCAAACTTTGAGAATGATGAATCGCTCATGTCTGGTGTATCACCAATACTTCTTATTTTGGGTTATGGATTTGGTGTTCAAGTATGATAATTTGATWTTAATAATAGATTTATTACTCTTACCTTACATGATGTATATTTTATTAAATATTTTGATACTTGATAATAATAATAATAATATTTGATAATTTGAATAATTATATAAAAATGCCTAACTTTAGATAATACTTGAAAAACAATTTGTTCTAAATTCATTTGGAAGTTATTGTCAAAAACTAAAAAATGTTAAATTTTTCTATAAATTGAGTTTTTTAAGTTAAAAAATCAACAATTTATATTTTTGTAAATGTTAGTAAACAATATATACTATATAATATATAATAAATAAATATACTCAACATTCTGGTGAAATCAGAATTTGCCTATTGTACTTACTTTTTATGTTAATTATAAATAGGGAACGGACTTTATTGTAATAAAAAAATCAAAATATGTACATAAATATAAAATTATTTTTATCGAAATATGTAAAAAAAAATTTTAAAAAGTATATCAAAAAAA